CGTCAAACTGCTCTGGACGCTAGCATGCATTCGTAAATTTTATTGTTCTTCAAATAATAACATAATCATATATTTACAGTTGAACTGAACGTCCTCTAAAGATAAGTTCGTGCATCCAATCGTCAATGCATCGTTTCAATGAATCAACGATCGAATACCTAGCAAAACCAATGGTTGCTCGAAACAAATTCGTATTTTGATAGGAATCAAATGACAATTTGCAAACACTGGAGGATAACCATTAACCCATACTGATGCACATCCGTTTCTCATCCGACACCTGTATTGATGCACATCCGTTTGTCATTCGAAACACTTGATAGTGACTTACTGCGAGGGCTTAAATGTTGCTAGTTGAAATAATTCTATGTTCGTAAAAAATCAAAGAACAGAGTGGAACTGATAACTAAGCCTTATGGTAATGGGCTAAGCGCTAGTACTGCTTACAGATAGTATAATATGTTATGTGATTAGTGGCATTCTGGAACACTCCATGTTTATTGGTCGTGTCATCCCGGAAACAAGACATCAACTCATAATTGTTACATTTTGAAGTCATCTTTTATAGATAGGTCACTAATTGATGCAATATTCATTCGTTCATCATTTAGTTATTCACCTCTTCATAAATATCACTCGTTCAGCTATTCATCCGCCAATTTCCATAGGTCGCAAAAAGTCGTCGTCGTCATATTCTGCAAATCCTTCAATTCGAGGAAACTTCTCCGAAAATATAAAAATTGCAGTAGATTATCCAGAGGTTGACTGATGTTATCCTCCATTATAGTTTTTTCTATTCGGATGTTAACTTCTCTTCATTCAAATGAATACATTTAATACTTCATCTACGAATACAACATCTAATACATAGAAAATCAAATGAATCTCACAGGATCGCCCGATTCTCCGCACCAATGGGCTTTTTACACAAATTATTTTGCAACTAAGTTATGAAAGTTCTTTTTCATTAATTATACTGTCGGTCCGAGCAAACACAATCGAGTCGTTCATGTCAAAGATCCACAATTTATCATCTGAAAAGTTTTCATATATATACCTGAAATATATCATTCACTTTTAAGGTTATTTGAACTGCTGACTACCCCTCAAAACATATCTTGCATACATCAAAGCAATCCACATTAACTTTCAGTCATTATCTCTATCGATTTGTTATTTTGAGAAATAAAAAGACAGCAGATCTGTTTCGAAGAATAGCACTACAAAGCCTTTAAAGTTATGCTTATCTAAGAACATCTGCTAGAAAAGAAGAAAATGCGCAACTATCGCATCACTGTTTACTAATGGAAATTTTGAATTTTACTTTTCGTGACTGATACGAATTTAGTAATTAACTTCTCGACGAACTGACATAACCAGTAAAGAACAAAAAATCGAAACTACATTGGCTGAAATGGGGAATGAAATATTTGCTACGAGAGGTCTAATGAAAGGTGCAAAACAGATGTTGATCGGATTGGTCAACATCGAATAAAAAACTGGAAATGTGAACAGAAGTATATATTTTGATTGTTGCATAGTCAAGTTCAAATGTTTTGTACAGAAGTGCGTGACATTTTTTACAAGAATTCAGCAGTTATAAGCTATAAAACATTGAATGCTAAAATACTAATAATACATCATAATCCATACGCGTTGTGTGATTGTTTTAAAAGATTGCTCTATTAGCATTTTCATCGATCAATTTTGCTCTCAAAAAATGAAGTGCACTTTTTGTTAGAGAATGCACCGAAACATAATTCAATTCACTCGAGATCAATTCAATGAGCGCAGTAGGACAGCTCAATTTTTCATTCGTTCATCCGAAGGAAATGAAATTTATGAGGCAACCAAATTGGTGAATCGTTTTTCATTTCCTGAGTATGATTAACACTAGCAGTTTATGACACACCTAGCTGAACACGGCTATCATAAGTCCATCCATTCCACAAGTATTCGGATGCTGTTATCGATTTGGTCCCCTTAAACTCCATATTACGTTCGAAATCAAACCTCAGAAAATAAGTATACTTATAAAATGGACTGAAGTTTCCCTCGTTTACTCCGCATTTACCTAGCAACTCTAATCGAAACATTTATTGTCAATGAAACTGATAGGACAATAATACCTTCTTGATCGATTCGAATCAGCCTATTATGAAACCACCGAGAAAGGGTAAGGTCGTTCGCCTGCGAAACCCCGTATGCGCTTGGAAGTCCCCGAGGGTAATGAACGTTCGAAACCTTGAAAGTACTCAAAGGTCCCCGAGATATTCGGGATCCTAGAGGTATAGTCATCCTCGAGAGTCTTGAGACCTCACAAGTTCTCGGGCTCTTCAGAGGTCGGGATCTCCAAGTTAAGGTCTTGGTCCCCAACCCTTGTGGAACACTCAGCTTCAGAAGTGTGCAACCCAACCCTACTATGTACCATTAACATAAACAACTGCAATAATACCATCTATACTGGACCAACAACAACCACTCCAACAATAATTTACATTGCCCTTTAGCAATCATGCACAAACTCACATCCTATATGAAAGCTACTCAAGCAGCTAACAAAACTGTAATTTCTGAAAGCCAATGCTCCGAAACTTTGTGGTGACATTAACTGAAGTTCAAAACATACAAAAAACGTTTATATGAATGATTTAGTGATATATAACAGACTGAACGAACGAATAATATTGAAGTTGAAGAAGACATTTGAAAAGTATCAAATAATCATCCCAAGTTCTATCCAACATCGAGTGCGCACGCCCAATACAGATATTGACATATCAAAAACTGCACTGAAAGCTCTTATAAACGTACTTAACAATTTTAAATTATTGTCTCTACAGTTTGACGACCGCAAGCCGTACCATCAACTTCGTTCGCGAATTACATTTCTCCAAAATAATTTATACTTGTTCCTTTCAACGCCTCAAAAAAAAGAAACACAGCCAAAGACTGAAGAAACTCATCAATAACGCTCGCTCACCACAGCAACACTACTAAACGGTAGAACCAACACGACCATTCGCACTCCAGATCAGTTAATATTGAACGAAGACTATACGTTTACCAAACAAAAACAACGAGATCCAAAATCAAATCAGATGCGAAGAGATGACAATATTAGAATTAATTCATATCACAATGAGAACGAACGGTGCATAATGATAATATTATTATAACATCAACTGATGATAATGCTATTAATAAGCACATTAATAATCGCAATCAACTCTGCTCACAGAAACAACAACAGAAAACAATTTGATGATACATAATAACCATCATTAGACAAGTGCAGCAAAGTACCATTCGAGCGACGACCTATTTGTATCAAACCCTCTTCCTCTCTGCATAAATGAGCAACATTAATACAATAAAATTGTTGAAATAAAACAACAATAACTCAAATTTTACTTAAGACATCATTACACTCCACACTTAAATACGATCAATATACTAAAATCGGCTCAACTGCATATTGTGATACCCACCAATCCACTCCATCAATGCAACATGAAAATTACCTTCCACCTGCACTGTTCCATATGCCTACAAAGCGTTACTAAACAAAAACAAACATAAAGAATTTTAAAGCGAGAAAGAGATTGCAGTTGAATTAGTCTAAGATTGCAGTTCGGAAAGATGTGCTCAGAATCAATAAACCAATCAAAATTGTTAAATTGCAAAAATGAGTGACACCTAAACGACTCCTTATTTCGAATATGTCTTGCTTAAAAGGCTGTAAAAAATTGGAACTTCTTTTGCATGCTTATTGATAACTGCAAATTTACCGAACCACCAATTCTCATTAGGGATTCCGAGTGAACTTCTCAAACCACTAATTTTGCCCACTCCAAAGACAGTGCCTGATTTTGACGATGACAGGACTTGAAACATGCGGCTGAGGCTTTCCCAGCGTTCAATTACTCAACGGCTATGCTGCTTATAATAATCAGCCGTCGGCGGCTGATAAATAGCAACAGAAGATAAGAAAACATTAATGTTAGGAAAAGGAAGTTTTATTCCTAGCGTTGAAGAATCATGGTTAGAATTATCATGAGAAAGTATAAATACAAAAAAGACTTCGTAGTATGATGAAAGTTAATTGCGATTTAAAGGCATCAGAAAACGACGAGAGGAACGAACAAGAAACTGTTAATGAATTTTTCTTCACACTCAAAAGCGTCTATTCCTTTAAGTCATTTTAGGACTGTAACATCCCAAAATTCACCAACAACGAAGTGCAGTGGTCATCTAAGTAGCTTTGGTGAAGAGAAAAAGGGGACCGAAAGATGCAATTTAGCCATAGAGTCAATTAAAACATCCAATCGAAAAACACATTTAGTATGAACAATCCTCATCATAAAGATTGCAAATAAGTTAAATATTACAAAAATTTATGAAACACACAACAAATGAATGGTGACTCAAACTGTGCTTGATAAAAAAAATCAACTCAAATGAATGGTCAAGAACAAGATAACGTAACGTACGAATTTCTCTACAACCACAAGTATCAACCAACCACAACAGCACCAGAGAATGCATAGTTGAGTATGACAGAACCGAGAGATGTTTCATTAGAGCTCATCTTGAATTGATCAAAAAACAGTGAAAAAAAAATTCCAAATGAAACTAAATGCAGGAATTTCTCTTAAGAAATTATTCACAGCACACCTGCTAGTGTTAACGCTACCTTGAATGCTCAATTGATGCATTTGCCAACATACAGTCCAAAACAACGAAAATACAGTATTCCTACCGGTTCTGCGCTAAACACCTCGACGCATTCACAACGCATAAATATAAACCAAAAATTGCAATGAAGGATGCGTTCATTCAAATCTGAAGGGCACAATCACGAAATACCAACTTCGACCGGATGAACGATGCTGAATGGTAGAAAGTAAACGTTGAACTACTCCATTTTCATACACAAAAAACGAGCACAAATGCGAGAATATGTATTGCACGTGAATATTTCACATGAATTGATCCTTTCATGATAACATATCAGCCTTGCCCACACGTCTCCTTTTGCTCTTCAACCCTTTCGAGGCACCTTTTCTCGCTCCCGCAATCAATTTATGCATTTTGGTCTGAAATGCATTTTCCAATAATGATCCTTTTTTTCTGTAACTAATAATAGCTTCCAGATCCAGGTAATAGTTTAATATTTAGCCAAATCACGCAATACGATCTGTTCAAGTTATCAACAACTGAAATAGGTAGGTTTTTCAATAGTAAAAAAGCGGTCATGTACTTAGTGGTGAGTTATGAAAATGGGTGGAAGAATTACTTAAACGGAACATCCTTTCAAGAATGCACCAAATATCACAATCGATAGACTCTGTAAACGATATGCAGAGATTGGCTTCACTGGAACTACCAAATTTGCAAATCACTACAAGTTGTTAATGAGAAAATGGCTCGGATTATACGATAATCGATCAACACATAAATAAAATAATAGAACTGAAACGAACCGCTGCTCCTTTTTGTTTTCGAAGCGGTATATAAGCATATGGTTCGAATTTCTCGCCCTTCTTTCTAACATCACCACCAGTCTTACCTACTTCAAAACGTGTATCACGATGAATTCCCATTCCTCCCGGCTTCCAACGACTATTAGCCGCACTCGCATTCTGAAATTTGTTTAAATTATCTGGTAAACAAAGAAAAAGACGACAACCAATCAGATCATCGTTTATTTCGATCGGTATCATCGTGCCCAACGATACTCCTCCATCTGGCATTTGCAATCAAAATTAATACTAGTAATCTCTGCTACTTACCAGTTTTGTTCTCTCACATTTCAAAGGGATCTTCAGAGTAATAAATAAAAAACAAGAATGAGTAAAAATCAGCATTAAAAAGCTGATATTCAACATTATTCTCGATTAAACCAAAGACAGAAACACAAACTAATGCTAACCACTTCTGAGCATCTTAACAATAACAAATCACAACACAAGGAAAGTTATATCTGAAAAATAACCTCAATATTATCATCACTCGTTCCACTCTTCTCATCATCATCCTCGCTTTCAGCGTCATGCACCGTTCGTTTCTTCTTGGTTTCGTTCAAGCTACTCTCAACCATATTCATAACGTCATCATGCTGCCTTCTTTTACGTCCACTCGACAACGCGTCAATATCTTGTATAATCAACTTACCATCCTTCGATAATTTGAAACCATCTTCTGCCTTCTTCCCATTCGACAACATTAACCCTCTTCAAGAAATAAATTGAACAACTCAATCGCTGAATGCATTTTCACACTGAGCACTCAGTTTATCAAACTTTTGTTCCATAGAGCAATTCATGGAATAACATTCATACCGACAAAAAATTCAATACTTGAAAGACCCACTTCCCACCGCTGACTGTTTTATTAGTTTGCTGAGACGGTTTAACAGTGGTCACTTTACCAATCATAGTTTCCCTGTCCAGCAGGTCAACCATGTCTTCATCGTCACCTTCCCGTAACCATACTGTGCTAGAGCGTCCAGAACGAGATTTACGTTCTTCTTTATCCGAATCCACACCGCTGTCCTAAATTAAGTCAACGCATTTCTCAAACCATTTTTACGAAAAGCATTCGTACGAATTCATCAACACTCATGTCCCACAAATTTGTATGATAAGCTAACATACACTTTCTTGGTCACTGTCAATAAGCATGTCGAGAATCGTATCCGCACCAGCAGTTCGCGCACTCTTCGATGACAACGAACGCGTGTCCTCATCATCCTCAACTTCTGACTCCACTGTGTTTGCGTCTGTCAACAATGCCTCAGCTCGACGTTCACGACGACGACTAAACGATCATTTCTTATGAGAATCACACTCATTTCAGAAAAATCAACTGCTTCAAACTGAGCGCGTTACGTTCGTTGAGATGAAATGAGTAAATATCTACTGATCAAGAACCCAATCCATGTTTCCTCGTTTCATTAATCATTGAATATGGTCAGAATAATACTTTATGCGATATATCGCTACAGTGTACAACTGATAAGTTTATTCACTATAAACGCTTAGTTACGAAAGATGTTGGTATAAAGGAAAACTCTGATGTTTGGGATACGAACAAACTGAAAATGTTTAAGGAATTAACCGAATTTTTTCGATGGCCTTTAGTTGCTTCAACCAATCTGATTTATCAGTACTTTTCATTAATGTTTCAACTCCAAATTTATCCACCATTTCTTCGAGCAGTAGACGGTTTGCTTTTCGCACTTTTTGCGTTACATCTGCAGTCAACTGATTTTCAAATACAGCTTCAATAATCAACTCCTGAAAGTAACGCAACATTTACTTTGCCACATAAGAAAATGTCATATGCATAAGTCATTGTTATGCCATTGCGTACACTTGTAGATATGCTCTACACTTATCACTTAGAACCCTTCAGGAAAGTATCTAATGCACTAAAACAAATGTATATATTGAATGAATTTATCGAACTTTGTACTGTTGAAGGACGTAATCGGGAAGTTTGTGTGTTAACACTCGAATGAGACGAACGACCAAGACACGTATAACTGGCCGCCGGTCACGTATACAGCTGCACGCATGCATCAATAAGCGATTCAACAGTGCCGCATTCAATTTACGAACATACTTTTGTGCTATCATATTCAGCGCTACCATTGTTGATCTAAATACAATGAATTTTGAAGTGCACTTTATTAATGATCATTAATGACAACAATAACAAAATATTAAATAAATACACTATTACGGTCAAAGGCGCATTCAAAAGTAGAAATTAAAAAGAGACGTTCATGTTCCAACGCACAACTAATCGAATGAAATGATCAACAAACTTACTGTGCAATATTCAATGGCACTTCAGTGGGATCAGTCAATGCTTTCGAAGTGGCCAATTCGTAAATCAAATTCAAAACCAGTTCAAGTGAAGATGACAAGTTATCACTGAAATTTAGGTACAAACAAGTTTAGCAATCCACATAAACAAATGAATTTCCACTGCTCAAAATTACAACCAAATGGTTGTGAACAATTAAATTGAAGAAGAAAGTGTGAGGTAACCAACTAGGATCGAAAACATAAAATTCAGAAATAAGAAATTCGAACAGTCGATGAATAAAAAAACAGAGCTTATATGCAGAACAACTAGTAATGAGGCATTCAAGTGCCACATAAAAGATGCAGCAAAGCAATTTTTAGAAAACAACACAACGACGAAGATAAGACTAACTCGGAGTCAGCACTGAATGAGAGAAGACGTTGACAAACATCACTGAGGCATCTGAAGGCGTTCGTTCTCGTATGTGTATTGTGCGTTTTATCCAGACAAATCACCACTTGTGCGAACGTTTCAGTTGTGAAACGCTTCACTGCATCAAATGTTGAAAGCTGTTGTAATCGCAAGTGCAGAATGGATATCAACGACGCTCTTGCACTTCGAGCTACCCTACTCACACACTGCAATAGTAATACAACCACTCTGATGATCAACAAACTCAAAAGGTTATTTTTACAGCATTTAAACTTGAATCATTTATCATTGAATTCAAACAAGTCACACCCAAAACTGTTTCTCAAATAACGCAAAGAGGAGCTAACAGTGTTTGACACGATCAACGTTATAACTTAATGCAACAAACGTCATTGCACTCAAATCTCCTAAAAATCGAAAACTACACATCAAACTAACATCTTCGTTGAGAATATTGGATATTTCGTCACCATATGCGATGAAGAATTCCTGCACATCCGGTTCGCCATTTCGTTTCATAATTTCTTCAAGATTACGGAATGCCTTCTTCTGCAGAGATGCCTCCTCGGTGAAGAACCATTCGTGAACCGCATCGAAGATCTTACTTAATCCTTCAGCATTTGCGCGTTTCGCTAACGCTCCAAGCACATCTAATATATGCAGCTGAAAGATCAAAACATTGACAGTTATCATAGGCACAATCATTCTTTACGTTTTTCATTCAGTCTCTACAAGATATCAATGAGTTGAACAGAATGCACGGATCAGAAACGAAAGCAATTACTGGATAAGAAACGATGAATCAAAAATAAGCAATAGGTTCACATGAGTATATCACTCTAATCATTGTCACACCTAACAAACCTTTTTCATCAGTGAATTATCACCGTTGTGTGCCTTCTCTACGGCTGATCGGATATAGCGTTCAATCAGTGCGGGTGAAGTGAGTTCCACGTAGATCCGAATCGTCTCTAAAGTGGCTAAATGGACAGCTCTTCCAGTATGATCGTCGGCTTTATTCTCCAACGTGTACATATTGAACAGAATCGGTAAGTAATTCTTCGCATAGCGCTGCATCACTTCCTATAAAACACAATTCACTGATAAGATAAACGCTGGTGTCGTTCACGAGCATGCACAAAATGCAGCTGCATTTTCGTAAAGATGTGATACACAAACTTGTACACAACAATTCTATAACGCGACGAGATGATCGAAAAATATCTTTGCAAAATGCTAATATTCAAATATTTAAGCTTATTTACTTCAATAAAAATGTCCTGCTAAAAATATACAAAAGTGACAAAACGGCTTAAATTAGAGCTGTAAATAAAGTACATCTGCGATACACTCTATGAGTCACGACTGATAATCGATCTTAAATCGCAGTTCCAATCGTAAAAAACTAATCTGTTCGACGTACCATTCGTTCAGGCGGCGCATCTGGCTGTTGAGCGAATCGAACTGCGTTACGAATGGATGAAAGCACGATCATCCGCAAATCAGCACGTTCCGTTAAGGCTGAACCGAGGATCGGTGCCAGCTCTGGGAAATATTTCTCGAATTCGACTGCCGAATTCAAGAAAACTGGTAGAAGCTCCCAGATTTGATGCTAAACCAAATCCATTAAACTTCTTTCAATAAGACAATAAATACTATAAACCAATTCAGATGGGTTATTGGTCATACGAACCGTTCCCCCACCTACCGCTCCACCATTCTATAATATAAAAGAAAAGCAACCAAAATAATAACCTGCAAGGTTGTGACAATCTTAGCAGTAACAGTATCGAGGGTTGCTGTCTTCTTGTGTAATTTGATGGCTAAAGGCAGGAAGAAACGCACGAAAATAGACAGCGACGCATTGTGAATATTAACTCGCATCACCGGTAAAAGCCACGATCTTTTGAAATCAACCACAGATGAAGACACATCCGGATCAATGTCTAATGGAATCGCATGCAGTACCCGGTCCAATCCGACGTAACGAATCGCAGCACCAACTGCCTGATATGAGTAAACATAATTGAAGAAAACATCAAAATATTAACAACAAGCCTCATAAAAACAAACAAGGGAATGAATAAAGTGAAAAATAAAGTGTAATGGTAACAAACCAGATCAAGATCACCTTTGCAGAAGCAATCTTGGGATTCTCTAAGCTTTGCAAGTGTGTTCAACGTTCTATTGAGTGTCTCCGTTTGAATTGCATCAGCACACTCTTCGAAGGCTTTCATCTGAGTTGATAGAACATTCGACCATACAGCAACACTGCGTACATTTAGTGCTTTTTCCAAAAGATCGACGCAGTATGATGCTGCAGTCGCATGTTTCTGCACACAACGTTCCAATAAACGTCTCAGCACCATCATCGTCACCTGAATCAGTTGTTTCTTCGAACACAATTGCCCATACCAATCATTTATTATGTATCAATGATGCAACTAAATGGTCAACTTTATTTGTTTCATTGGAAATCACGTTACGCGCGACATACATTCTTCTCACGCAGTAGTTTTGCAATTATGCAAACTCAACAGAAAATAACAAACCTGTGCAAGCGTTTTTACGCTGAGGTCGAACAAACAAACAAACATCTCAAATGTTCGTGGTAATAAGCGAATGCTTTCAGCTGGATCTTTGGCTGTCAAACACACATGTGCCTCACCAAGTGCCTGAAATTGTAAGCGCGACAAAATTCATCAGAATCTTCACAAATCGCTTTCGCAGCAAATAAGGAACACGGTTCAAAACGAAGACAGTTGTCAGAATCGATTGGTTCATTGGGGGTTGGATGAACACGGGATGGGAAGGGATGGGATGTACAGCAAAATCAGAACAACAGTACTCATAATTGCAGTAGATAAAGAGATGATCTTAAACGACACCAGGTGATAAGAACACCGTTTTCTGAATGGATTTATGTGAAGGATTTCGCAACATGACGAATGATGAAAATCATTCACAAACGTAATATTGAACTACCCTGTTCACCATTTACTTTGTAGACTATAGCCATTCAGTTAAAGCAATTTTCGAATAAACTGTGATGAATGTAAGATACGTGACTGAGTTGAATGCTAGCTAACCTGCATCCAATAAGCAGTAACAGCAACATCTGAGGTTGGTGGCACAAAATCTCGAATGGCAAGAATAAGCTGAACGTTTGTATCAACTGGAAGTGCTGCGTCACAAGGCTGCCTTTGCATGACACGATAAAGGCACTGCATTGCAGCACACTTTACCGTGCCATCCGCACATGCCATTAAACGAAGAATCGTTTCAGCAAGTCTTCTAAACACTGAACTAGCCATTTTATGCATTACACCTTCCAATAAGCAAAGAATACGCGTCGGTACAACACTGCTAGCACCTTTTCCTGCAAATAGTTTTCGTAATAACATAATCGTTAATAATAACCAAAATATTTATATTCACCATTGTATTGTTGTAATAAAGAGATAGCCAGCTCTCCAACATGTGCTGCAGCTGGATGAACACCATTTGAATGAGACGTGACTGGATCGGTGAGTACTGCACGCAGTGCACGACGTGACATTGTACGTACCCATGGTTTGTCATGCGAGGATAAAGTCGCCAAACTAGCTAATATCATTCTGGAAAATAAGAACAAATAAACTAAATGATGCAATGCGTAATGCAGCACAAACGTGCTCAATTACGAATCATGGCTAACAGAAAAAAACTAGAGTCAATTCAATCTTGAATATCACTAAAAAAAGAACACTTACTTTGTACTTGTATTCTGTATGGCAACGATCGACTGTGCACGAAGTAGTGTACCGATTGAAGCGATGAGATTCTTTAATAAGGTAGCATTGTCACTATCGGCATGCTCACTGAGTTTGTTGTATAGAATCTAAAAGCACATCACTCTTTTACCACCATTCAAAAAAACACTGATATGATAGATATGAAATATACTGAACGAAGAATGGAAAGCAACAATTGAAGAAGAAAACCTGGATAGCACGGGAAAAATATTTCTGAAGAATATCTTTGTTAATCTTCTTCATGATGAGATTCAGAAGATATGCAGTCGCAGCAATCTTTTGACATTCATCGGGCGGAGTGCTTTCGAGTGTACTTAATAATGCTCCAAAATATTCCACATCTGTTTCATCACCACCCTTCTCCTTGATTAATTCAGCAACTGCCGCCAATACTGCTACCACATCATTTTGCATTGTTGAACCAGACCTGGTTTTTGATGAAATTTCATATCAAAATACGACTATACGATCCAATTATGAGCACTAAGATGGAATGGAATGCTAGACTTTTTTCTTGTCACTTCTTGAAACATAATAATATCATGATGTGATCATTCCTACACTTATACAAGTGTTTTAAATCCATTTCATCGTATTGGCAACAAAAATAAATGGCAAACAAATCGATTTGCAAATCTAATTTTAACAACACATTTAATTAAAGGAGATTTGTTTCACGAAAACGACTTTAAAGTTTTTTGAGTCAATTCAAACATCAGCTCGACTAGAACACAATAGAGTGAATAACTAAATTATGTAATTTTTGTTCCTCATTGACAGTTTCTAGAAAAGAAAGAAGAATGCTATAAGAGAATCAACATACTTCCATACTCTATGTACTGCGTCGAATGTGGGATTCGTGCATGCTGTGAATGCTGAGAAGCATCCTTCTGATATCATGCTCTTATTGGCATTTAAGAATTCACTTTCACCATTTTCGCTGCTACTATCTCCTCCTATGTGCATATCTTCCTGAAAATTACTCAAATTATTGTTATTTTCTTGGACAATCATCGCATACTGAGTCGAGAGCCTGTGGAACGTCTTTAAAGTAATAAGAGCGTCAAGTGAAAAGTGCAACTTACCAGCGGTAGCTGCAAGAGAGTGTCGTTAACTGGAACATCATCAATAGCCACCATTGCAGTATTCGCAACTGTTCGAGCATTACGTGCTTCTATGCGATGACGACACGTTGACGGATTACTTTCACTACTTCAATTCACACATTATTCAATCAAATTTTTTTACCAATCACAATTATACAAAATTTTTATTCAGATTATCAAATACTATCTCATCTTTCTTTTCCGTATAGCTTAACTCATTTCTAATTGATTAGAATATAACCGGTAAGTCCAATTATTGCATGAATTATATTCGAATGTTTTGAAGAAATACATTTACATCATTTTGCAATGTAGGAAAACACGGTGAATAAACAAAGTAATTAGACAATTACCACTAGCGTACTTTCAACTACTAAAAGTAACATTTGACTAGAATATTAACAGTGAGATTTTAATATTCAAGGCCGCAATCCAATCAGCCGAAGAACATCGCACCGGAACGTCGTCATGCATTTTGAAAGAATCATCAAAAACTAACATAACCAAACAACTCTTACCTCGCCCCCTTTCGGATGTGTTTCTTCAGCTTACTTGCACTCACCCTTACACGAAATTTACCAGCCATTTCCAGTCTTCTTCAAACGATAGCGGAGTACAACGAATCGACCAAAACAATTACCCAGTTAAATGATCACGGAATAAGATCACAAAGATCAATCACTCCATTTTATGATCAAATTCGAGGAACACCTATATTTAATGAAACATAGATACGACATTATACATTTGCAATCCGCCAATGTGGAAATTGAAATTTGACTGACATTTAAATAGATAGATATATAATGTACTCCAATGAACATCAAGGCTATCCACAAAATCATTCAAATTGCAATTTAGGTAGGATTAGTCTATCTTACAGTAAGTGCATGAAAAGATGCTAGTCCATCGATATTTAGTCACCTATTTGACTCGTTAAGAGGAAGAGAAAGAAAAAAATCTGACTTCCTGAAAACCTTGATATCACTATCATTTGAACTACTCGCAAGAATTTGTCATAAGTCACCCAGAGAAACATTTTATCCTGAACACAATATCATCCACCGAAAAGGAAATACAGCTATCACATTAATCTATCTTTGCAGCTAACACTCGTTCACATTATTGAGAGAAGCAAAATACATTTCTGCACAGAAGAATTAATGAATACTTCAGTTATGAGTTTCATTTTTGTTACTGATCATTCACATAGATATAGTGCTTTAGCATTATCAAGACGAAAATTTTTTGGAGGTACACATACAAAACAATGAAAGTCCACTGAATACGTTTAAAAAAACACTCGTCAACCCGTAAAACCTAAACGTCAAAATTGAAATGTTCTATCAGACAAACTATAGGTGCAAACGACTGAAGTGAAACAAATGAATCGACACACTTCTAAAAATGAATCGATGAAACACTGAATCGGAAAATATTCTATGAGGATGAACATAAGCTGCATTATTCAAAAATATCCACCACATCAAATTCACTCACCCAATTTCCTAAACTGTACACATCAAAACGCAGATGTTCATCATTGCAAAAATAAAAAGTTCGTTCTTATCTCGCCTAAACATTTATTTGATCATGAAACATACCTGCAAAATAGCCGTTGATTTTGCGCTCTTAAAATAGCCCAACTACGGTAGTTTTCGTTGTATGGTTCAAGAATTTAATACGGCACAAGTGCTAAACAGTAAACTACGAATGATTCCATAAGGGATAAGTTGTTGAGTTGAAGAAGGCGAGGATACCGTAGATTCGACTGAATGAAGTGAAGGTGAACGGTGTGGGGTGGGGAGATGTCGGAAGGAAGAGGGTAATATTTGAATTCGGTAAGGAGACATCCTCATCTCACCACACTTTAAGTCTCAATTTATTAATGATCTATGTTATGGCTTTGGAAACATTACTAATTCACGGTTTCCGACTAATTTTAAACGATTACTCGGAAGCGACCGTCAGCCATACGTTGCTCGCTTTGTCAGAGAATACTTTTCTAGTCTCCGTTTAAGCCCTTCTTGCTAAAAAATAACAACTTAATGAAAACCACTTGCCGAACCGTTGCCTTTGATAAAATTCATGAAGATAGACGTCTTCCTGCAATCCTACGCCAGCTGCATGGAAAGATTGGTCCCAAAGAATGAAGTATGCCGTATTTGAGATAACAGTGCACAATGCACAATGAGTTATTGTAATTGCTAATTTCATTTTAAAAAAATAAATAGCATGAATTCTGGTTGGCTTATATAAGCCTCAAGGTTTTATTTATTTAATCAGCACTTACAACTCATTACGAGTTTATGCCTCTCTGTTATCAACAATATCACTAATACCACATTCTTCCCCCCTTGACATCCTTCTTTCTGCCCAGCTAATGATAACAGCGCTGGGAATCATCTGTCTTCATGAATTTCTAACTCCGATTACTGATTTGGCGAGCACACAGGTTTTGAGCTACTCCTCCATATTGCCCAATGATTTCTAGAAAGACGGACTCAAAATGAGCCCGAAAATACATTCAGCTTGATCGACTGAATATGCGTCCAATGACTGCACAGAGTGGGTATTCGGAACAACCAACAGCAGTAAGCCAGTAATCTTTCCAAGTCAATAACAAACAATGATTTTAATTAATGTAACCAAATAGATCGACCTATTGAACGCATAGCCATCGGCGTAGTAAACAAGTTTAAACAATAAGACAACCAATTTCAGATACTCAGCATATCGTAACAAGGACATATGCAATTTTCCCTTGAGCAGGTTTGTGCATACGGCCGAGACCCCACTGGTTTATTTTCAAAACTATGCGAAAACAAACCAGACAAGTCCATCCACTCAATTAATTTTTGTACCATACATACTTGTACGTAACTGAAAAAAGGATGACTTCTGTGAATTCCACATGTTACTATCATCTAGCATTTGAACTGTTCCGCTGCGTTTGCATTTTTGTTTTTTTCACTCCAGATTCGTCATCAACTCCAACCAGTCTTATGTCAATTCCGACTGGAATGCTTTACTACAACCACGAACGGTAACTGTATGCAATCCGTAAAAAAGACTCAGATTACACTAAATCCATCAGATTACGGATGCTATACATAAATCACATCACAACGGTCAAACTTAAGAAGTTTGCCGACTCAAGTTTCGTACAATTAACAGATCGTTGGTTCTAAATGTCTTTATACAAAACTACATATCACTTTTTCATACAACCACCATTGACATATCAATAATCCCAAAAATTTCTTCCTCATTCTGCTTACAATCACCAATAAGTGATTTAATTTGAAATCGCTCAATTCAAATTGACTTGATGATTAGCATAGCACAAATTCAAAACGTGAAAAATTCTTCTCTATTCAAGAAACACATTTTCGCGAATATGTGAAACAACGAAATATGTGAGCGATACATGAATATAAAATACGAATGTTAATAATACAAATGTTATGGTTGTTGCATCGGTTGAAGCTTTGATGAAACCTGCAATGATGACACTTGAATATATCACAAGTACTGTATTATAAACAAAAAACAATTATCGAAACGTTACAACAAAATATCACATAAAAAATAAAACACTAATCAAGGTAATGGATGGAACGAGTCAATCCTTACAAGAAAACTTTTACCGAATCCTTTCTGTTAGTCTCATAAACATTTGCAAACAACGAAAAATTAATTCCTGCAAACAATTCAAAAAACAGAAAACGGCGATGAACAATTATAAAAAATGTTATCTAATACCTTAAAGGCACATCCAGTGTTCTCAATCACATCCTCTACAGAAAGATCTTCGCGTACTTCAATTAATGTTAAACCCTCATTTGGATCGACGTCGAATACTGCCTGAATGCAAAATATGTATGGCATGAGCCACAATGCTCACTTAAATCATAATCAAATCGAATAACAGGCAACAATGTCATACCATATCAGTAATTATTCTCGATACGCAACGTATACCCGTAAGAGGAAGTGTGCATTTATCAACAATTTTCGGCTTCCCCTTGCGAGTATGTTCCATGGTAGCCACCACTCTTGAGCCAGGAGCGCTTACCAAATCCATCAATCCACCCATTCCTTTCATGTTCTTCCCCTTTAATGAGACTGTGTTATTTTGAATTAATTCACGACGAATGCTGCAACTAAAATTTGCTACACGTTATTAAAAGAAGTATAAAAGAACTGTTCACAAGTTGAGAAAGTTTCAATCAAATGTAAACTAATGCTCCGAATTTCTTGATTGCCACTCGAAAAAAAAAACTAAAAGCAAACGTGAAAACAACTCTAAAAAACACATTACCGGAACAATCCAATTAGCGATATCACCGTACTGCGATATTTGAAAGGCGTCTACGAGCATCATATCAATATGACCACCCCGGATCATCGCGAATGCTTCATCGCTTGAAACAAAACTTGCACCTTTTTTCAATGTTACCGTCTCTTTAATCGCATTTATCAGATCTGCATCCACCTCATCTTCATTCGGATAATCGCCCTACGATTGTTTCTCTATTTTACACTATATTCACAAATAAAACAATCAATCATTTCGATGAAGTTAATTATGTTATAAATTTGCAAGCATGGTATGAGCTAAAACTCGGCACAACCTATTTGGTCCGTGGTTTGTTTCAAGATTTATCTCATTTTTTCAACGACTGAAAAGCGTGCTTCGACATTTATGCACGATATATTTAAGAATTTACATTAAATAAACTCTCAGAAAATTCGGCAAAAAAATCGGTTCCTTCGTATTTGGTAGAAAACAATTTCAATAGGACTTTTTGAACTGCTATAAAATGTATTATAGAATTTGAAAGGCGTCTACGACTATCATATCAATGTGATATAAAAAAGAAACTGAGAGTAATTTAAACGAAGAGCAATACCAACCACTCCGATAAGGCCGTTCTCGCTCTGCACACACACATTCACAGCTTTTGGAAGGAAATTGAGACACAAAGTAGGGATGCCAAAACTAAGGTTTACTGCAAATAAAGTCTACACGATAAGTTAGCGCAACGAGAAACAGTGGATGAGAAGCAATCAAACAATAAAACAAACGTATAGGATTTACCATTCGAATGCAGTGATTAACAGAGATAAACACCAAATTTTGGATGACTTTCTGAACTGTTTTGTAACGAATAGAGTGAGAGAATGATTAAAAGGAATTAAAACAAAAAATCAGATAATTCATCGATCTCACCGTACATGCCGTCCTTAAATTCAAGTGCTGCTCTTCGAGCGATGATACTTCTCGATTTCGCAGCCGGTGTATTCATTTCAGTTGGTCGCTTCTCTTTCTTGTAGACCAAACGTTCGATTGGCTTTTTGTATTGCTCACCTTTGACTAAACGATCGCAATAAATTGACGGTACATGAATCTATAAATATTCAGTTCAGTTCATAAGAAATAGGTACATTGAAAAAGTGAAATAATATACTTGATAATACATTGATTTTCATTTTACCATTCATCAAATTAAGGCTGAAAGTTTGTACAACGCCTCTACGATGGGACGATACTGAAACGCTACATGATTCCAAAAAGCACCATTCAAACATTTTATAATACGTATCATTTTCTACGTATTCCAATACTGATTACACCATTTAATTATCTCCAAATATTTCGTACATAAAACCAATACAAACTGTATCACAATTTCTCATCTGAAATTCAGCAAAGACACTCACTGAAACGATTTCTTGTCCAAATTAACATTCGCAAATAATTTACAAAGAAACTTTGAGGCACCAAACTAACAAAACTGAGTTATAAAGCTGAGATGTTAGAACTGAGGTATACGGGAAGAAACAACCATACGAATGCAGGCAAAAATGAAATGCAAAACTGCAAAAAAAAAACAACTTCATTTGGTGGAATTGAACCCGCATCAACGATTTGTTCCGCTTCTACTATAGTCACCTTGGCTGCCTTACACATTGGCACGTTGAAATTTGCAGCGCTATATCTTCAGTTAAAAATTGAAAAATTTAAGAAAAAAAATTTCGTTTCAGTTTGGAAGCATTATCAATTGTGAAAATCAAATTTTCGAGAATCAACTCCAATAAGCATTTGGCTGATAAATGAACACGTAGAAAAATAACTGAATGAAGCAATAATTGTCTCAGAATAAATTAAAATTTGGTGGGAGTTATTCCTTTTATGATCACCAAATCCTTGTTGTTAGGAGACGAATTTTAGTAATCTAATAAACTGCTCATCACCAACCTAAATACAAGATTACCATTTACATCGGCTTTCCATGCTTTCACTAGAGCGAAATCGGCCGATATTGCTTCTTCAAGCACGCAATTGATACCGTTGAAAACTCGTGTCTTCAAAAGACACAAATAGATAATGCATTAAAGATGACCGAGAGGATAAAATTGCTTCAACATAAAAAAATCAGTGACTGCCATCCTTTAAATTTTATGGATGCACTGCTTATAGTACGATACTTAAATAGCACCGATAGCTGACAAATTTTATAAATGATTCTTTCTACATTTGAATGCCATTGAAGTTGAACGAACCAAAAAATATGTAACAGTGAGAAAGCTTTATTGAAAAAAAAAGAAATTTGAATGTAATAGGTAAGATTTCTTGGTAAAGGTAAATACTACTACTTGCAAATAACTGAATAAAGTACTTCAGTAACAATATGACCACTCTTATTCGTAACAATGTTTGATTTCAAGCCGATTAACAAACAAAGAGATGATATCCTCATGAATATATCAGTAAAAGAAAAAAAAATGTCCTTAAAATAGCTACCTCTTTAGCAGAACTAGCGATTTCGACTTGCCCATCGCTTTTGAATTTGATCGGAGATCCACCTTCATGTATTAATGTGCCGAAGCCGCTGGGAGTGAAAAACGCTGGTATACCTGCACCAGCAGCACGTATACGTTCAGCTAGTGTACCCTTAAATATATCACCTATTAACAATAGGCATGCACGTAATTTATAGACATCAATTTTCGAACACAATTTGCATATGTTGGTAAACAGTTTGAAAATGGACAATATCAGCGATTCGACTCATTTTGCGGCTTATTACAAATTAATTCTGAAAACCACAATGAATAAACATCGATAATCATTAGATTGATTCCGAGTAGTTATCCGTTCAATCAGGACACATCTCATCGTTAAGAGGCAGCACTCAAAAAGGTCAAAACACGTAAAAGCAATACATTTAAATAAAACAAAACATAATGGGTGCAACACAGTACCTCAGGTGTGAACTCTAGTTCCACCTCCCCATTTAAATATTGTCGAATAAATTCCTCGTTTTCACCCACATATGAAGCGATCAATTTCTGAATCTAAAAAAAAACTGAATTTGAGAACACTATATTACAACGAAGATCACCTCATCTTCATGGGAGTAACACTTATTCCGAAATGTTTTTTTTTGTTTTTGAAATGGTAAAATGAAACACATTTAGTCGAATTCAAAATGAAAATCACTCAATACTTCAGTGAATTTGGACGAGAATAACGTCATCCATCTTTTGATAAGGTATGAATTGCAAAGGATTATCAACTTATAAAGGAGTATTCAATGGCAATAAAAACAAAAACAAAGGAGGATTTGTTTATTATAATGTCCATTTAAAATTGAGGAAATTTTCTACTGATTAGCAAATAAATCACACCCTCATTTCTGGAAGAGATTCGTGCATATTTTTCTGACAGCAAAGATAATATGATGAAGAATAGGAGATTCAATGAAAATGTGCTCATTTAGTTCTTTCGCAATAAATCTGTGGACGGAAACATTTGTTGAAAAATGCTTACTTGTTTGTTTTTGACCAAAGGACCTAAACCATAACTGTCAATACAAGCATTATTGCTGATTACTGTCAATTGTTTAGTACCTTTCTTATTTAAACCCTCTAACAATTTTTCGGGTACACCGCACACTCCAAAACCTGGAATAAACATTACTGAATTTTAACTAAGTGAACTGAAATGGTAACTATTCAAATAAGAAAACTGAACTTATGATCGGTACAGATTACAAGTTGATTACATTCATTTTTGTTGGTTAACTTAAATCCATCTTCAACATACGCTTACAGAGATATTAATTGGGAGGCACAATGCTGTGCACAGACCGTTGCTTTTCTGGGTGTTGGTTTTGCCGTTAGTGCCCATCAACTGGTAACAAGATAACGTCGTTTCGTATTTCCGATTCTATTCATTTTGCGTTTGAAATAAATGTGTTATTCGATCATAGATCAGCCACACTTCCAAAAATGCAAAAACGTGTTATGCCAATGGATTTGGAATGAGGGAAATTTAAGAAAGAACTTATCAAAGCCATGTAGAACGCACCACCAACCAGAAGTCTAGCTCCATCAGAAATGTCTTTGATAGCATCGACAGGTGACTGGTAAATTTTCACATTCAGTTTCGGAGAAGAAGAAAAACTGTTTCGCGATCCATTTATCTAAGAAAGATAATTTTCGACAATTGTCACATTCTGCGATAGTTTTTCATCGACAATCACAATTCTTTCAAAAACATTAACAATCACAAATCAAACTTTTCAAGGAAAAAAGATGGCAACATCTCTCGAATTTTTACGCGAATCTTATGAATTAAGAAATAAATTTGAAAATCAGTTCGAAATGTTAAGTATCATAAGAAAAAGACCACTACCTTAAAAAAGCCAAATATAAGCCTCCTTAGTGTACAAGTTTTGCAAAGGTTGACCATAACGAAATATCTCCTTCATTGAATGCCAGTTCTCAGAGATTGTTACGGGTGCATACGCGTGTCGGTGGAAGGAGGGCGGAGTCACGACCGCGTCGCGCGAGGAGAGATAAGCAGGGAACAACCATTAGAGCAAGTGAGAGACTAGAACGACATTGAAAGAAGTATCCCGCGGAAGTGAGATAAGTAGAGAACAGTGAATAGAGCAGATGATATACTTGAACGGAGTTAAAACATTTCTTTATACCGATGGTATATCAGAAAAGGACCGTTTTGAGGGGTGATTCATTGCGAACTGATTAAAAAAATTGCAACCATCCTGTAGAAAATAAAATCTTCTATCATATGAACTATCATATTCTGAGATTC